AAAATGAATTAATTTAAGAGTTTCAGTATAACTTCATTGGCTACAGTTCTCTTGCACTTTATTAAGTCATAACTTGTGGCATATCTTAGTTTTGATTTTATAAGTACACAATAATGAATGTTCTGAATTATTAATAATTAGAAGTGGTGTACAAAATTTCATAGGCCTTCGTATTTATAATATAATGTATCTGCTGGTGACACCTTCTCAAGACAATCAATTCTTTGCATAACCGATTTATGGGCTATCGGGGACTCTAAGACCCTTTTGGTATTTGATAAGAGCCCCTTGACCTTTTGTACCAGCATTCCACACCAAAAGTTCTCCAAAATATGACTTTCACTGGCACCTTTGTCAAATCAACCCACTTGGTGGTCAGGGCGGCCCTTGGCAAATACGTCTTCATCACTCGCACGCCCATTCAACGTTTCAATTTTCAAGAGCTGAGATTGGCCCACTTCAGTGCTGCCCCATGTTTGCTCCAAGACAGTTTACAACGATGTGTTGGCCACATTTCACTCTCGGCTAGTGTGAAGTGCCATACAGCTTCATACCCCGAGTGATTCCATGTTTTATGAAAGGTGACATGTGGCAACTCCAGTCGTGGTCTAGCCACATGACCGGTCGACCAACCTGGATCTACTGTGGGCCCATTGCAATGTCACTTCCACTGTTCTCGGCAAGCTGGCGACGGTGAGTCCTAGTTTGTGTGCGTGTCCTTGTGGTTTCTTCTGCAACATGTTGGGAATTATTATGAACTCAAGTGGTTTTCGAGTGGTTCGACGGAAAGCAAATGGAAATGTATAGTTCAACTTGAACTAATTAAATTAATTAAATTGGGACTGAGGATTGAACCAGTTAGCTTTAAAATTACATTTCTTGAGCATATTACTGTAACTTATCTATACTTATTGTATATCGCTTTTGGTTTTGGTAACACTAAAAATTAAACAAGACAAAACAGGGATACAATTCGCCTCATTTCTAATTATTTTATTGGCCAGCTCCTAACTATAGTATCCAGGGAGTAATTTCACAACAGCGGCTCAACTTCCGTTTCCCAAAACTTTGGCGCCAGTGAAAATTGGCGTTATTTTACTTCAGTTTTAGATCCGCTCCAGTTCAAATCTCAGCTCACTAATTTATGCAGCGCCGGGAATGGCAGTTCACTTAATTTCAGTGCAATTTTTCTTGGCCAAGTCGCAGGGAGCTGGGACCCAGGACCAAGGACCAAGAGTATCGCAATCTGGAGCGGCAGAAAGGCGCCGACAAAGTGACAAACAACTAAGAGAAAATCGCGTGCGTGACGCGTGGCAGGAGCATAAAGTTTGTGACACGTTTCCCTAGTTGCATTTTGTTTTTATTTTCGCTGAGCAGCGAGTCCTGGTGCTAAGGAGCAAAAAGGTTCGCAGCGAATGGTGATGGTGACACTTTACAGCCGCGCTGCATACTTTCGGGCGTTATGCAAGTCACGTTAATTCCGCCAGCCAACTGTGAAGGCAATACAAAAACAGCAACAGCAACAAGAACGGACCAAAAACCATAATGGCAGCAACAACGCAGTGCCGAGACACTTTTGCCACTTTCAAAGGGTCTTAAAAGGTGGACGAGGCAAATCAAAATGTTCCGCGTACTTCGCGAATTACTTATGTATGTTTGGTTCCTGTTCTGGCCTGGTATTTTAGTTGTTGGAACCCACAAATTATGGCCACCACCCCATCCAGCGCCTTGGCCGGGGAGGAACTCATTAGGCGTGTTTATATTATATAAATTAGCTTAATTTGAAAACATTTTTTGATGCCAAAACTTTGCCTGTCTTTTCAGCAGGCAACTTCTGTCTCGGCTAATTTATATGCCCGTTGGACACTCTCGCGTTGGCCAAAAAGTTGCCGCCAACTTCTCCTTCTTCGTCTCCTGTTGCGGGTTAATAAGACGACGACCAACAAATTGCCAACATTACTCTTTCCCGCCCAAGGGGTGGCGGCCAAAAGGGGGCGAGGCAGCGGCTGGTTGCAAATAGACATTTGAGTGTTGTACTTGGCTTCGCCCGCAAGCAGGCTGTCTTGCTTTCTTGTTGACTCTTTCGGGATGGGCTGATTCAGTCTTTGCAAGTGTCAAAAGCGCAGGCAATTAATTTGGCCTAATTAGACTCTTGGCTGGCTGCTTGCCCGCTTGACTGGCTCTCCCCAGCCTCTGCCCACGATTCCCCCACAATCCGCAAGCCCGTTGCTGCTGCAGTTCTTGTGCCTTTTCACTCTGGCTGAGCCACAAAGGATTCTCAGCCTGTTGAGCGATTTACGGCTCAGCGGAAAAGAGTTATTCGAAGTGGCTTCACGATGGCGAGGCCAGAAGCAGAAAATTTTACGGAATACTTATAAGTCAAGGGGTAACGCCACTGAAAGTTTCGGAATAAGTTAATAAATACATATTTAGAAGGCCTATGCATAATAGGAAACACTAACTAAAAATACATCGGTAATTTGTTAATAAGATGTAATATGATATTAAAGATGAAGTTGAGAATATAATCAGGCCTGCTCCGGTAATCGTATTTAGCTGCTCCGGCTTTCGAAAATTTGTTGCTATCGAAATGTTTCGTTTTCTCATCGTTTCTTATTTCTCATTCCAGCGGGACATGATGCACTTGCCATTGCCCGCAGCTAAACTGATCGGAAGGACAAGTGCAGTAGACCTCATCGGAGCCATCGCATTGGTATTGCCTGAGATTAAGGAAGAGGTATTAAAATATAAATATATAAAAGAAAGAAGTAGCTACGCACGAATTAATACACTTGAACTGTTTCTCCTTGCAGGTGATGTTGCAGTTGATCTCATTGCTGCTGTCATCACAATGGATGTCTCTATCACACCAGTAGTTATGCTTGATGCATTTACCCGTTCAGCAACGGAACTCGCTTTCAGAGCAGAAAATAACAATTGTGATGATTTGCTGAAGAAACCCGGTCTAAGTTTCTAGTACTGACTTGCCACTGACTTCTTGGTAGAATTCCAAAAATAATAGCGAAAGTAGCCTAAAATATGGGTGGATATACTGGATACTAACCTAAATTTACTAATAAGAACAAATAAGTGAAAAATATTTAATACGTTCCGAGTTCTAGGCTTAGAAGAATGTCTGTACTTATTATTTCGGCCAACCCATTTGCATTCTTTTTGGAGAAAATTAATCCCTAACTTTAAATTTAAAATGTGAAATCCTTTTGACAATTATTTTTATAATCTAGAATAAGTACGAAAACTAAAAATAAAGTGGATTTTTTCATAAAGTTTATTAAACTAATTTTATAAAAGTTGAAACAAACCTCATATAATAACTATTTAAAATCACCCATAAAATGCTCCTCACAGATGTCTTGTATCCATAATAACTATCTGAAATCATCCATAAAATGTTCCCTACTCTCACAGATCTTTGTCAAAGTTTTTAGCATCTGCCGGCTGCTTTCTGGGATGTCAGATGCACTTAACCGCCTTGAAGTAGCTGCTATCCGTGGGAAGATGTATCCCACCCACATGCGAAAAACTTTAGCAGAAACAGTTTCAACTGCCTCTGGGCCAGGCCATAATTTGCTTAACCACTTTTGCCAATGGTCGGTGTGCCCGTTGCCCAGTTTTCCTCCTGCACCCGATCTATCTGTGGGCTCTCGGTTGGCTGAGGGCCAATTTCTTTGGCGCCGTTCGACACCGGCCGCTTATATAATAATTTTCCAGCATAATTTATGGGCGGCAAAAGTTTTCTGTGGCTGCCCAGTCGAACAATTGCCACTATAATGTTGTGGGCTCTTCTTGCATTTTACATTTTATTCGAGCCAAAAAATGTTTGTTGCTCCGCTCCGTCCAGGCGTGAACTATGCGGTCCAGCCATCCTTCCGTCGCATCCTTTGGGTGCCCTGTTGCCATAAATTCTCTGTGCTCCGCTTATCGGAAGGGGGACATGGACATGGAAAGCAGACCCGATCGAAGCTGAATGGCATAACAAACGTCAAAATTGATTTCAAATTGCATTCTTCGTTTGGTATTTCTACTGTGGTAAAGGGGCATAGATTTAAATTTTGAAAATAAGCATGCTTATTTTCTGTAGAAAATCAAGTCTTGGTAGGCAGATTGGTAGAACGTGTGAAACGTTACAACAAAACACTGCAAGAGGCTTAATTAAAGGCTCTGAGAATTGCGTAAATCAAGCAAAGAAGTTAAATAAAGGCTGATTTATTAACTGTCTTTTCAGGTGCAATATTCAGCAGCTGGGATTTGTGTGAATTATCTGTCAGGTGCCTCGTATAATTGCTTAAGCACTTGCACATCTGACCGATACAAATGGATATTTCAGCCCATAATTACGGCAGATAAGCGGCGTTCATTGGTTTCGACATCGGAGACAAGGCACTCCGGCTTATCATTCAAGAGCAGGAGCATTCGCAATTGCGAAATATTCGGCTACGACTATTTGCTCCAAACAAGCGAAGATAAAAGGTGATCGTTGCGCGGTGGAAGTGTGACTCACAAAGATACAGATACAGCGGGCAGCTGCAGATACTTGAAAAAGCTAAAACGTGTCATGTGAGCAATCAAAACAGAACTCCACAGATGGAGAGAGACTGAGAGAGAGCGAGAGTGTGGATGGTACACGGAGAAAAAAGATGAACCAAATGATGCTACAAATAAATATATTATAATTATATATAAATACTGGTACATATAACCTTTTTATTGGCAAAATCTTTAAGGGATTTATAGATAACTATAATTTTTTGAGTACTTAAGTGCAAAGGTAACTATAATTTCTCTCTCTGTGCTGCTCCGCAGAGCACCAGAGAGAAAAAGCTCGGCAAGCAACAGGTACGGTCTGAGCGCACCTTTGAGCCGAGCTTCCCGCTCTGAGCCAACTTTGGCGGTCTTCTCCCTCTCGCGTTGCCGTGTGTGTGTGCGCTTAGCGTGTTTTTGTTGCTGGGCGCGGCTGCGGCGCGGCAGTTGGACGTGAACCCGCGAGCGGCCAACACGTATACGGCGCTGTGTGCAGCGGAAAGGCAGCAGCAACAACAACGAACCGATAATAGGCAGCGCAGCGCAACTGAAGTGTGAATTCGAATTGAGGTTATGTAAGGCGAAATAGCCAGACGCGAAAACAAAACGCATAAGCAGCTGGCTGCATCGGTCAGGTCACAGGCTCGCCCAGCCCCGAAGGAACTAGTACGCAAGCAGGAGCTGCCCCATGGAGGAGGCCAAGACGCAGGCGCAGGCGCAAAGCCATCCGATGGAGGATGTGGCCCTCAATGAAAGCGACGAGGACAAGCAGACGGCCAGGCCCAGGAATTGGGTTAAGTTTGACGACGAGGCGGACGGCGGCGAGAAAAACAATAACAGCGATGCCACACAGCAACCGCAGCAGCAGCAGCAACAACAAAACAAGTTGTCTCTGCCCCCGCCGCCGTCGGTGGTGAGCAGCAACAACAACAGGAGGGCGCGCTCGCGCAGTCCCAACGATCCGTCGCCAACAACAACCACACCTGTCCAGGTCAGTCGCTCTCCCGCTATCGCTCTGCCCCTCACTTTCTGCCCCTTGCGACGCAGCGGAACGCATTCCAATGCACGCCAGGCCCTTGTCGCTCTGCCTCTTGCTCACACACCAGTTTGCGGTACAGGCAGCCCCCGATAAATGAACCTTAATGACTTTTAAACTAAAGAAACATTTCTGAAAATTAAGCAGTTTTAAGAATAAGAGAATTATTCTTTAACAAAAAGATCTTGGGCAACCTTTTAGTTTACAGCTTACCCTTTACTAGGATAATAACAAGTCTGAAATATTCAGAATTAACATTTAATTGGGAATACTTTATTATGGTCCCACCGTTCCCTAGTTAGTTTATAGCTTTCTTCTGCCTGATTTTTGGGACGTTGCACGCATGACAAACAAAGTCGGCTCTCAGCTGAGAGCTGGAGTTGAAACGGGGCCCATCCGGTGATAAACTCTGACTCAACTTACCTTAACTTGACTTGATTTTAGACGCCGACACGTCACACACATTCCGTTTTAAAACGTTTGTGTTTTTTAGTCTTGACGATGTAATTTCTCGGCCCTGGCTCATATTTTCAGCTTCAGTTGAGCCAAGAACGTCACTCATGATTTAGATTAGTTAACGTTCCCTTTGAAGTTGCCTGGAAATTTATTCGCTTTTGTTTACATCACAGCTCACACCAGACTGCTAGAATAATAAGAAAAGGTAAACAAAATGTGAATTTCGCTGCGAGATATCAGTTTGCTACGGTACCGAGTAGTTTTTGCATATTTGTTTATATATATTCTATAATTTATGTTTGCCTAGCAATACTTATATAATAAATATAATAAAATAGAGTTGCCTATTGGCAGTTAATGAGTTTATTTCTATTAGAGCTTCATATCTTATTGCTAAATGAGTAAAAAATCCATAATATTCTAGATATCTTCCAGCAATAAAATTCAAAAGGCAATCCTCAGGCTTAACCTTTTAAAGTTTTATTATCCAATTTTATATCTTTTGTAAGTGTTTACTGTTTACCTAGTTTATTAGCATAACAGACATTATCGTTTTTGAATATAAACATAAAACTACCGAAAATTATCTCTGTCATATTTGCTATAACAAAGATAACACTACTGGGAGTCTGAGTTTTGTTATAGATACCCCATAAGCATTACAATTTAATTCCCAACTCTATTTAGAGATAATTAAAATTTGGAAAATAAGGCTGAAACTACTTAACAATGCAATACGTGAGAACAGTTTTAAGCTAAAAAGCAAAACAAATATATTTGATCGCTTTCGGTGGTTCAGAGGCAGGCGCATTTTGAGTGGATTGCCTTGGCGAATCTATCTTTGGGCTGGGGTTTTGTCAACGTGGAACGTGCCTTGCCCCACAGTGTGCTTAGTAATTTTCGCAGTCGTAAGTTTACTTATGGATACAGATACGATATTACCCACTTGGCGCGCCCCTGAAAGCTTAGAAACTGAAACCAAAATCAATAAAATTGATTTTCCTCGCGCATTTCCATAATTTTCTGGCACTGACCCCTGGCATTCGGCCGCCTTGAGGCCAAGACCAATGCATTAGTATTTACCCCTTATTGTGGTCTCTTCACAGCGCCCGGCCGTCTCTTCGACCACAGCTGCGACACCGGGCGAAGTCCAGGCATCATCCCCGGATGTGGCGCCCGCTGTCCTGACAACTGAGAGCACGCACGTCAATCTCAGTGCATCCGGCAGTGGCGTTGTCAGCGGTGCCAGTGCTCCTCCAAGTGCGAGTTTGAATGCCTCTGGCCCGGCGTCGGCCCGGCACAACCCGCAACTAATAAACCAAAAAGCGTCAGCAGCCCCCTCCTCAGCACATACTGCAGCGGCGTCTTCAAGCCACCATCACAATGGCAGTGGGGCCAACGGTACAGGAGTTACCCAGCCAGTGGACCAGGGATCTGGGATGCGCACGATAGAGCTGTCGACGGGTCGTATCCGCGAGGGATTCGGTGAGTGACGGTCAGAGGGGTTGGTGCGTTCTGAGGCCCTTAAGTCCTAAACCCACCTACAATACCAAAATTTTTTTTTAAATGATCGGAGGGAAAATTTCACATATAAACAGTGTTTGAATTTTTGGTTTCATATTTCCATCCTAAGATAATAAATGCTTTTTATAAAATATATAAAAATGTATTAAATTTAAATTAATCTAATTGCGTAGAGTTTGTCGTGTATACACATGTTTTTAATCACTAGAAAGGTCGATTTAGCAATATCCGACAGTCTCTCTGTCCCTACCTCAAGGTTTTAGAAACTAGAGGATATGAATTTTTGTTTTTTTTTTTTGTTAAGGAATACTTAAAAGTGTTTGTGTACACAATTTTTAAACTAAAATTAATGAATTTGATGAATGAAAACGGGCTAAGGTAAACTTATTAACCGAGAGATGCTAGCTTAGGCCGCATTCTAATGTTATGTAATAAGTAATTATTTTAATCTATATAATTTCAAAATACAAAATTGATATTAAATTGATAGCTAAATACATTTGTAGAATGATATCGAAGGCAGCTGCAGAATATAATTTAAATTTACAAAGACATAAAGTAATATAAATACTGTTTTCTCCTATTTACCATTAAATTATAATTTAAATTCAATAATAGGAACATTAACAAGCCATTTTCTGGTTCGTTTTCCTTTCCTTTTGTTGGTTTGCTAATTTGTATCTATTAGATACTATTTACAGAGCTCTTTTAATATTTCGTATACAGTAAAAGTTTTATAGCTTAGAGTCAACATAGAATATTAAAGAGGCAGATGAAAGCAGAAAGCAGCAGACCCCATACAAGAAACACATATATTCTTGATCAGCAACACCAACCGAGTCGATTTAGCGTGTTCTCTCTGTGCGTCCATGTGAAAAGTCAGATCTAGAGGTCATAAAAGTTATAGCTAACAAAATTGGTGTCAACATTTATATTATAATTAAGTGTTTAAAAGTTTTAAAATTAAGCCAAGTTCACTTTTTCTGTAAGCGTTTAAAATAAGTTGATATCATATAATGAGACCTGTGCAAAGGTAGTAAAAAATTCCGATTATAATCGGTTAATAAACAGAATACAAATTGTCTAGTCTCAAAGTCCTTCTATTGTGCAGATGTTTAGTCGAATCTCAAATGCTTTATACTTTATAGAACATTATTCAAGCACACAGAAGTAAATATTCTGTTGAATTTCCGAAGATGCTAGCTTAAGTTTACTGTTTGTTATTTATTTATGTGTTTATCCTAGAAAAGATATAAGCGTAAAAATAGAACTTTTATGAACATGATTTTAGTCATTAAACTTTAGTCATTTAAAGCGATCACTTATGGTATAGTCTCCAAAGAAAGTACATCTGGCCCTCGCTTAACACGGCCTCTTTTAGCACGACTCGGTCTTACACGGTCTCAAATTTGCTTCCAGACCTCTTTTAACACGATAAAAACCTCGCTTAACACGATGTTTTTTAGGAACGTAACCCCCGTGTCAAGCGAGGGCCAAGTGTAGTTTGCAAGATTCGATCGGCTTTAACGGTGATGGTAATCACCATTTTGGTAGTTGTATGAAGGTTTACCGAAAATCCTGTTGCAGGCTTGAACCATGGCTAAATCGTCTTGGTTGTTTAAATATTACAAATACTTTTACTGTTCACTTTTACTAAATGTTGTTTTCCGGCTGTCTATAGCTAACGGCGATGTGATTGTCACCCTTCTACCGGCCAACACGAAATGGCCGTGGATAACGCCTGCCATTTTCCGTCCGGAGCTGGTGCCCGAGGAGCTTATGGCCCAGGGCTTAACGGTGAGTCCGACCTTGCAGTCTATCTCCCCCGACTATATTATTACAACCTTAATACCGCCAGCTAACCGTGGAGGATTACGTGAACGCGATGGAGACGCTGGTGAACGACTACCGCTTCACGGTGTACAACATCTGCTACAAGCGCATCCTGGTCTGCTGGATACTGTTCGCCTTTGCCGTCCTGCTGGCGCTGCTCTTCTCCGGCCTGCAGGGCGTGGCTCTGTTCGCCCTTGGCGTGGGCTGGCTCTTCCTGAACGCGGCGGCCATCTTCCTGTGCATGTGGGTCAAGTTGCGCCTGTCGCGCGGCCTGGAGAAGTGCCTGGCACGCGTGAATCGGCAGCTGGTGCGGCACAAGATTCTGCTGGTGCTGGACGACCGGGGTCGCATCTCGTGCCACAAGGTCAACCTCTGCTTCATGTACTTCGACGCTACGCAGTGCGTGAGCTTCCTCAACGAGTTCCTGGAGCACACCGAGCAGACGGGCGGCGAGGCCATCAAGGCGGGCTGGGAGGCGAAGCTCGACATTGACCTTAACGACATCGTGATCCAGGGCAGCCAGCCGGTGCGAGTGCCCCGCAAGCAGGTGAGGCGCTTATTTCTTTTCTGCTTTTCGGTTTTACCTTCGGAGCGGGTTGTTCTTAGGCAGTAGTTGAGCTCATCACCATCTCGCAACCCAAACCCAAACCCAAACTTCTTTCGATCACTCATGCACCTCATGATCCAATGTCTAACTGCTCTCCCTAGGCCGTGGCCCAGGAGCTATTTCTGAGCTACCTGCAGCGCTGGGGCAAGGACTTCCTGCGCCGTCGTCTCGACTGGACCGTCCAGGAGGCCGGCGTCCACGAGACTCCCCGCCATCTGCAGTCGTCCATCTGCCCGTGTCAGTACGAGGAGGAGTTGTTGCGCAACAAGATCAAGATCAGCCTGCAGCACCGCCACTGCTGCGGCATCAACTGCATGGGCTGCTGGCTCTAATCACCGAATTGTAAACCTGAAATGTTTGTGTTTCTGTTTTTTGGATTTAGCGTCAACCGATTAAATTGCTGAACATACAAAAGGAAATGTTTATTTTTCTAGTGTAGCCTTGAACCGTGGAACATCCTGGTACCAAAGGGCCTAATCCCAATTCATATTTACAAGATTTTTATCATGACTTAGATTCACTGCGTTTTCATTTTTGGAAGCAAAAATGGCAGAGTAGCACTCAAAATTCATATTATATTTATATCCTTTATTCAGACTTAGTGTATTAGCTATTCTTGTAATTTGTTACATTTTTAATTCCTAAGGTATTGTATTTACAAGTTTTCGTTTGTATGTAAATTACTGCAAAGCAGCCGAAAAGTATGCCGTACGTCTTGTATCATTCTACTAACCTGCATCCCACATCCCAGCCATCCGATTATCATAACAACCCACGTTACTAACCCTACTAATGCCGCACCTGCCCCGTGACCCGTGCACATCCCATTTGCACCATATCCGTATGCTCCGCCGTGTCTCACCTTCGCTCTACCCCGAATCTCCGCAGGAGCGCGGCCTGCAGCTGTTCCTGCGCTACGGATCCCGGTGGGGCATGGAGGCCCTGAGGGGATTGGTGGACGTGACGCCCCTGGAGCCGGGACGCCACTGCGGACAGTTCCAGTGCCCCTGCCAGTACATCAAAGAGCACCTGCAGTGCAAACCGCGAGGCAAGTTCAAGTGTTGCAATTTTGTGCATTGGGTGATGGCATCTGAGCGCTACGACAGCGACAGCTAGAGCTTGTTGAATGTTTTGTGTGCTATAACTAAGTGAATTTACCGCGAGCTAATCTAGAGGCTTTACTCCTAATTCTATATGAATTTAGCCCAGTTCCTTGGCCCCAAACCGACCGTTTGTAAATGCAGTCGAGAAAATACCAATAAGCTACCAGAAAAACTAATCTGCCAAGCGTGTGCATTTTCCTATATCTTTGCAATTGATCAACTCTCTTTCGTTTCAGATGTCAGCCCCTAGGGCTGTGGCAAGGTCTGGTAGTTTTTGGTATCTCTCCCTTCTGCCTCTCTGAATCTCATCTAATTTTCTTACTTCTGTGTCTAAGTTAACCCAGCAATATGATTCCAAATTTCTGATCAACCGTGTTTCTTTATGCTCTCAAAATTTACATTAAACAGTTGCCATAAACAGCATTGGCCAAGTAGTTTGGACCCGATTCCCCTTGTTTGGTGGCTAGACAGTAAACTGGGTGTTGGCCCTATAAAACCCTAACCCCCACACGATTACAGTCGAAGAAAATATTACACACTAAGCCGTTTCGATATTATTTTTCCAATACCGCAAATTATGTTCTTACCAAACGCAAGCGAGTGAATTTCTTATTAACATAAGTCTTGTAAATGATTGTCCACATACGTATTACCTTGTTGGTGTCACAAATAAATGTCTATATGTGTGTTAATAACGAACAGTCTTTTATTAACTGTCATGCGTCGCCTAATGATTCTATATGTTAACTCTCGTTGAACGCCTCTTACAGGTTATCCATGTGGTTGCATTGTCTATGGTTCGGACCCCAGTTTTCAGTATCGTTACTAGATATGTTGTGCCCCATTTTATCATTTAACCCGATTCCGGAACTCTGTGTGTGTTCAGATACTGCAATTTATTAAGTTATTGTCATGTAAGGTGTGCAAAATAAATAAAGAGTTCTTACGCATTTTTTGTATGTTTCCAAGTCGAAACAAACAAGCAAAAGGGGGAAATATTTGCAATGCATTGTTAGCAAAGCTTAGTATAAACTCAATACTATATATTATACAATTTAAACAATATTCAAAAGGATCTACTATTTCTTAAAACAATATAATTATTAACTGGTCTGTAACTTGTCTGAAAGGCAAATTAACTCATTGATTGACAAGTGCGAAGGTGCATTCTGTGGGGTGAATAAAAAAACTTAGCAAGTTTTAATAGCACAGCTTAAGTTTCAAAAGGACATTATAACAATTTTCATATTCACAACGTTCTTTCCTCACAGGATATTCAGCTTAAAAAATTATAGGTCATATTTATGACCTCTCAGTTATAAAACGCGATGTGTAGGTTATTCATGAGGAGAACTCCCATTCCTTTTATCCCACTTTGGGGGCTCTTTGGGCCGTGTGCCCGTTTAACTATTATTGCATTATTCTTTATTGCATAATTCAACTTAATGTTTTGCCGCATTTTAGCCACATTCGTTCCGCAAATTGTGGCGAAAGTTCCGCCGTTGCCGGGCGCCCATTTGGTGGAGTTGCATGTGTAATGAGCCATTAACACAGTGCCGCATTTCGGGACATTTCATTTTAATGAATTTCGGCCATCTGAAAGCCTTAATTTTAATAACATCTCTGCATTCAAATTAGGTGCGAGGAGTTTGTATCTGTGTTGACTGCAGATCCTGAGGCTCAAGGTAAGTACGGCTCGGTTTTCCCACCCAATTTACAATATGACCCCACTCCACCCCGCCCCGAACACAACAGCATTAAAAACAAAAGCCGATTTCGCGCTCCAATAAAACAAATTTAAACTCTTGCGGCAGAGGCGGCGTGTGGCCGGAATGCACCATTAAATTTGCCAAAACTCACTTGCCACGAAGCTCTCCAGCAACTCGTTAACCCAACTGCACTCCAGTCCAAAGCAAGCCAAACGTGGCGCAGACCCTGGCCAAAGGCATTCTGGCACCAGGGGCGCGTAAACTAATCGCAAACAAACAAACACTCGCACTCAAACCACTCTAGCCCCACACAATCATTACGCTCATTCCCGAACCAGATCCGGGGCTCATCAAAGTTTTTCCTTCCACGCTGCCGTTGCTGCTGCTGCTGCTGCATTTTTCGGAAATTCAATTCATTTGTGTAATTTTCATTTGAATTACAGCCATCAAAAGTGCCATGGTGAGAGGAGGGGCGGCCATTCCGGTGGGTGTGGCAGCCGTTGATGGCCCAAACTTGCAGGGGTTCCAAGGAAGAATGCGAAGCTGGTTTCTCTGACGGGGAGAATATTTGTTGTTGTTAATTTATAATTGCTAAAGTTTCAGTGTTGCAGGCTTTCTAATTTTGTCTTAATGATTAAGCATTATTAAATATATATTTTTTCATGCATTTTCATTTACGACAAAAGAATGTGTCATTTGGAACTATTAAAAGCTGCCTGGAAAAATACAAAAATATCAACAAGACTTTGCTAATTCTGTTTTTAGAGCCACTTAAACACTATGTACTCTTGTTCCAAGTTACCTACACTCAATATATATTAAGTTTTTAAATATTTTTTCCACTTGCTGGTAAGAGTATCCAAGAAATCGTTGATATCCAAATCGTTGTTATTTATTGTTTTTTGCGTATTTTTTTCCTGTCGACGCTGCCGTCGTCGTTTTTGCATTTATTTTGCGGCTAAAACTTTAATTGAGTTTTAAACCATTTTGCTGGTCGGTGCAATCCCCGCTCCCATCCGGATTGTTTATGCGATTTTTTTCCAAGCTGGGCCGCACCGAAAGGGGGTTTAGAGTTAGGCATGGGCTCCAGCCTTTGAGTTTCGACTGCAAATGTTTTTCCTTCCTTTTTTCCTCCTTTCTGGAAGGCTCTACTTCCTTTTTTTCGAGTTAATGCTTTTTAATTCCCTTTTTTTACATATTATTGGAAGAAGTATTCGTTGAAAATATAATTGCGGAAATATAAAACCTCTTTATATTAATTAAAATCAAAATTAAAATACATTTTTATATTTTTTCTTTATGGCAGACAATGTCCTATGTAACATTGGCCATACAGGACGCACCCCTTTTCGGCACACACATACATATGCATACACTTACACCTCTAATAAATATGGCATTAAATCCTTTTTGACAACAGGCACCGGCGAGATACCGAATAGCGTTGCCCGGACCATCTATCATCATAAAAATAAACCGGACAGAGACCAACAGGAACGTGCTATCCGCCCGCAGCCCCTCTGGAGGCGCCGGAGCATTTAACATGAAACCGTTGCAGGATCGCGGCTGGGACGGTAGGGGGCGTCCGCCAGCTCCCTGGGCCACAATCAACATCATTAACGCGTGCTCTAAAAGCCATTTATTTAGTGGCCAATGCGGACAGGCTGAGCCATGTTAAAAATGCTCAGAGGCATCGAGTGTGGGAAACTATAAATTCAACGCTTTTAGCATAATTGCCGGCGCATGTGCGTGTCGCTCCAGAGACGCTCGAGCTGGAGCCAGAGCGTTATGATAAGTGGCCGCCGAAGGATGTAAGCGTCAACACTGGCGAACGTTAAGTTATGCCCTCCATCCGGCCATTACTCGTCCGAATCCTCTTGTTGGCTAACCGCTCATATTACTGGGCCTGGTAATTGCCAGCCCCATCTCCGCCTGACCTTTATCAGAATATTTTACAGCTTAATAAACTCTGGGGCTAAGACGGCGGACTGCTGGTGTTTAACCCTTTTATGACATCAAACACTCGAGAGGCGAACGGCACTAGCCCTGGATATTTATCGCTTGTCTAATCGAAGCAAATCAGGCCAGCCGGGCGGGCTCTGGAAATGGGCTCAATGGGGCGTATGCGTGATTTATGCGTTTCAGGCCTGTCTTAATTGCCGCAAATATGCGTGCAGGCCCAATGAAAATTAACATAACTCAAGTAAGATGGATGAGAAAGCGAAATGGTAGAAATGTGTACTCGAACGTGAGTATATTGGAAGAATTAAAGGAGCACTTTTAAGTGCACTCTATTGCCAGTCATAATCTGAATAACTACCTTTTAAACTATCAAACATGTTTTATAACATTAAAGAAACTCGAGAGTTAACGTTAGTTTTAACGAAAAGACTATAAGATTTCTAATTTCCAGAGTTGTAAACTGGTTGCAAATTGAGTTGCTTTAACTGTACCCGGCCCTGATTGAGCCTGGCTCGATTGTGCACCTGTTTGGGCCAACAAGTGTGAATAAACAAGCACACCGAGGCACAAGTTCACTCACACATACATATGTGTATGCACAGAAAATGTCGCCCACGTTTGTTCTCCTTGGCCATTTTTGTTCATCTCTCCGTCGCAACGCTTGTGTTGACGCAGATTTAATTACAATGTTGGTGCCGCATTCACGTTTATGCCACTTGCAACTTGGACTACACAGGCGCCTTTATTGTTGCTGCCTGTGTACACAGCTCCTGGCAGGCGCGGAGTGGCAATGGGCGCCTTTCCCCCGGCGGGGAATACTAGCTGCTGCTTTTGTGTAACAACAAATATCCTCGGCGCTGAGCAGCCACACATATGGCTGACTCCACAATCCACGGTCTCAGTCTGCCTTGGCTGATGCTACTTGTATGCACTTTACAAATTGAATTTTCCACTTGCATTCGTCCCAGGATCGTTCCACTCGCAAAAGTTGTGTAAAAACAAAAGAGACAAGGCGACGAACCTGCTGGGCTTTCACTTGACTACCTTCACCTTGTGAAGTCCATTTTACTCTTTGGGATTTTGTATGAAAAATGGATTAGTATTAAAATAGGAGCTATTTTTTCAGTAAATTTTTCGTTATGCTAAATAAATAAATAAATACTCTTACTATTATATCATATACTTAGTTTCTATTCTCGCTAACTGGGAGTGTATGTAATGAAAGACAAGAAAATCATCTCTAAATACTTACGGTCCTATGTATACCTTTGAAAAGTTCATCAAAAGATGTCCATTCAAAAGATTGTATTTGTCTGTTGGTATAAGTTAACAGATCCCTGAGATAATATAAGTGCGAATGGAACGTTATTATGAAGTATCAATATAATTCTTAGCAATTGAATGAATATGATCGGAGTTATTGCCCAATAATGTTGTAGCCATATTTTCAGGATCTCGCTAGCACTTACTGTCACCTCAGTCTTGGACCGCGGATTTATAATAATCGATCCAAAGTAAACGTTTTTAGACTCCAATTAATGTTTGACTCAGGACAGACTCTAGTTCAGTCCAACTACAATATTATAATTATATAATATTATGTTGACAGTAAGTCTTTATTACTTATTTTCTCTATTATCCACCAAGAACTGACTACAATGCGTCATTCAGCTGGGCTCTATGCTGGCACTGCTAATTGCTTGGAAATTTCGCTCATTTCCACACGAAGGAATTCCAAAATGGCAACCGCAACAATTTCTGTGGATCTGTTGCATCTACTGCTGCAACAATTCCTATAAACAAGCTGCAACAAAAGCCGAAAAAGAGGAAAATTGGTTTGGCCTGGTTTTTCGTAAAGTCTGTGCTTGTGCACGCATTTATTCTTTTTTGTTTTCGTTTTCCTTTGTGGCCTTGCTACAGTTTTTATCTTTATTTTTCTTGTCGTTTTTTAAGCTCCTGAATATGTGGGCAATTAGGTGCGTTTCCAGGACAGGCCGAGTGGTACCTGAAAACTATGGGCAATATAAAAGTGTATATAAAAATATTAATGTATCGCAGAACTCTTTATGTCGCAAATACGGTCCTGGACTACCCCTTTCTCTACATTTTATTTCATTCTTCTGCTTGGTTTCTTGCGGAAAATTGCATAATTGCCCCGTGTACGGAAGCTGGCTATTTTCGTTGCCACTGAATAATAGTTGGCCTCCTCGGTTCGTCCCTGAAAAAGAATTACTTTAGGGTGGGTGTCGTTTTTTTGTTGTTTTATTTTTGCTGTAAACTTTTGCGTACATTACATACAAATATGTCACATCGATATGCCTCACTTATTCACATATATAGAGCTCAATACATGTATGCGTACGAGTATGTATGGTATGACTAGGTATATGTATATATATTTAATGCTTTTCTGAGCTTCTTACGTAGGCTTAAATAAATAGTTCTCATTAAATTTCAACAGCAATTCGATTTCTTTTACTTGCCGATTGTTTTTGGTTCCCTACATGTAAAGATATATTTTAATCAAGTAACATTTTAACATTATCTTTAACTTTTATAATGTGTTGCAATTATTTACAAATGAAAAATATATTAGAGTTTGGATAACTTTTATTTAATTCTTTGCTTCTCCATTAGGCTTAGGCATTAATCAAAGTTGTCACAGTTTATACAAAGAGTTTTTCGTCATATTTACAGCGTAGATTCATTATATTTATTTAATACTCATTAACGCTTATATTTCTTAAATATTTACATTTAAACGTAGACTCAAATTCCCAATAACAACCAAGGGAAATTAGAGACCAAACAAATAAAATGACATAGAGATGTAATTAAATTAATGATAATTTCGTAAACAGTTTAATTTGCTTTGTGCCTATATCAATTATGCCGAGGGGGTTCTTTATACATTCAATAAATAAGTTAATTCAACACTTTTTGCTTTGCTATTTTGTGGTTCACACTTTTTACCGTTCTCAGTTCTTATGTTAAATTTCTGCTAAATTTACTATGTAAATTCGCTAGGTATGGGTATGCGTAAATACTTTCATCTAAATGCAAATTTGATTAACCGTTTTTTCCGCTTCGTTCCATAGTTATATAATATATATTATTTTTAGTCCATAATCAATTTATTTCCACTTAATTGGAGCTATTATGGCGGACACATGTTTGCTTTAACAAAATAGTGTCTCTTTCCTACAATTGATGTGGAAAAAAGGGGGCTTGAAAGTCTAGAAACAATTTAAACTGGCTCATCAGAGTCAAAATAAAGTTTAGAAATTAATATTTTACTAGGGCATCTTAAAAGTAAAGTCAATTTTGTAAAATTGTAGGTACCTACATGGTATATTTCATATGCTCTGTTTGTTTATTTTGATATTGATAGCTACGAGTGTTGTTCCGACTATTCCTTACCCATATCGATTCGCCTTTATGCTCTTGGCTGCTCGCAATCAACTGGCGTTCTTTACCAGCTTTTTTTTTTAGCACGATTTTCATTTTACGCTCTAATATAAACATATCTATCCCTAATTCTATGTATCCGTGTGTGTTTGTATGTATACTCGCCGCTGCAGTTGTCCAGACTGAGTTTTCTGTGCCTTCGTAGCAGTTTTCGTCCTTGTCCTGGCCACGGTTTGATTCTATTTTCCAAGCTGCTCTTGTGCCCCAAATGAGTTCCTTTTTGCCTTTGCAATTATTTGATTTCATCTTGAAAACTTTCGTACTGGGAGTGGGTTTGGCGGAGCTCTGCTCAGTGCGGTGTATTTTGCGACAACCTTATTACCACGAGTGGCCCAAAATGTGCACATTAAATGATGCCTGTGCGTTGTGCTAATAGAAAATGGGGCGATGTGGCGGCCGATAAAATGCAGCGGCATTGGCAGCAACCGAACAAAACAGCCAGCCAATATTACTATGCAAATGAGCATTGGCCATTGCCACTGCCACTGCCGCTGCCACTTCCATAGCCATTGCCACTGGCGTTCGCATAGGCGTTGGCATTGCGAATGCTGCGTTGACGCGCCACACGGCGTATGAGCAATGTGAAATATGCGCGATGGCCGCGCCCACAATGGCGGCCTGGTGGCGATATTGTTGCCGCCGCTATAGCTTCTGCTCTCCCAGCATCCAGCCAGCGCGGTGCTATCGCTGTTGACAACGGTCTCCGGTGAATTGGGCCGGTCCTCCGTATTACTCATACGCCACCGACCCGGCGATGCCAGCGATAATGTCGACAGCCAGAGCGAGTGCTGCGCCGCCGGCAGAGTCGGCAGAGCGCTCGATAAACGTTTGAAAATCCCAAATGATTGCGTTTTAATGCCGCGCATTATTTTAGCAAGTAGATTATGCTGCGCCAGTGAGCCTGCAGAATTGTGGAATGCTCCGGGCGGATTACGCACGGGCGTTTGATTGTTATCGCCATTGTTCCCAGCATGGTTGCCTGTGGGAGCACAAAAAGAGGAAGAGAGAGAAAGACAGAGAGAGAAAGAGAGGGTGGCATGTAGTAATCAGTTTTTTGGTTAGTCGGGTTTATGTTTTCATTTATTTTGTGCGTTCGACGAGCCCCAAAACCGGCGCTGGATACATTATTATCAGGGGGCTGCTGTAGACGTGGGATTGGAAATGGTTTCGGGTGGCATTAAAGAAAATTACTCTCCCCTGCCCTAAAGTATGCTGTGCATGAAATAGTTTGTTGAGTGCGTTCTCGGGCTGGTTTATTTATTGATTTTGTTCAAGCCAATCGTCCATTAACATTCGGTGAAACGGATAACAGACCACAGGTTGGATTAGGGGTTTGAATGAAAGCGAGACCCATTTTTTGAGTATTTTTTTATTAACATGAATTACTAATATTTTTAAAGAAGCAAACTTTTTATGTGCACAAAGAATTTGTAGTAAAAACTTAATCTAATTTCGAAGGTATGTAGACACAGAAAAACCACATCCTTTACTTTAAACTCTATCTTTTCAGAGTTCAGAACTTAAAATGACAATTAAGAAAGCGTCCTGCAGTAACTGTCTTAAATAGCCCCTAGGGAAAGCTTAACTCCTTGCCATTTGCTCTTAGAAATCACTTGAAAAATTCATAAGTAAAACAACATTATTTAATAGAATGATAGAAAACTATGGAGGAATTTTGCATGTTCATAGAATCTTAAGAGATGACAGTGTATTCCACTGTAGACTATAGCTGTCCTGTATCTTCTGACTGGTGTTCGAACACCACCACTTTGGACCGGCTTACAAGGACTCGTCGTTGTATGTTACTTCCTCGCAACGTCAAGGCTTGGGGGGAGCCTTCGGACAGCGATTACTTGACAATATTTCACTGTTCTTTGTGGGCCGCTGTCTCCGGCTGATTGAGTGCCTTTGTGGCTGTTTCCCTCTGTTGGTTTTTATGCACGTCATTGGACGCACTTTGTTGACCGCACGTCAATGGCTGATGTACCGCAGATACACGGAGTTTGAATTTAAGCCGAAACTGGGGCTGGGGACAGAGTAATAATCACATCAACTTCAAAAATCCGCCACTAATTGGAGCTATCCATTAATTTCCCTCTAATTTGCACTCCTCCTGGGTACTCGACCACGGTGAAAGTTCTTTGTTGCGGGTGAGTGGGCCTGCGAGGGGCCGGCCTTTGGGGGCTATTAAATATATTTTATCTGCTTTTAATCTTTTGGCGCTTGGCTTTTCGTCAGCTGACCCCATAAATAACCGCAAATTGGCCTTTAAGAGAACATTCCCCTGGCTCTGAATCGATTTTTGTGTGCGCGGGATCAGTCAGAGTCATAAATATAAAGTGATAGATGCCACACAACGGGAGTGAGTTAAGCCAAGCAGGCAGACCACTCCAATCCGTTCACCCAAAACGAAATTGAATTGTCTGCGAAAAGTTATGGGACTATCTACCGAATCAAAGTGCGAACTTAAAGCCAGTTGAATAGGCTTTTATTTGGCATTTTTCTGGACAAGTTATATTTATTTTTATTAAGGTAAAAAATAAAATAAACTATTGCTTTGATATTTTCGCAGTGCTTACAGATGGGCTATAAGGCATAAGGAAATCATTTAGCTAAGTACCCGATGCGAACAGAATCATTGGGGAATCCTTCCGATTCCATAAGCCCACTTCAAAAGTGTTTCCAGCGGAAATCCCCCAAGTTCCGACCCGCATATGGTTGGATGGCAGCCTGCCTGGGAGTGTTTATCTTTGGCTGCTGCTTAAAGACCTGGTAAAAATGTGCCACCTATTCCCCTTGGCATTTGACTGATGTCAGCGGCATAGAGAGGGGGCGGAAGGAGAAAGCTGGAGTCGTGGCCCGCATTCACGCCTGATTGAGAGCACATGGGAAAGGTGTCACTGCGACAGCCAGACGATTTTGATGGCATATTTCATTTGATGCGAGGCAATAAATATTTCCGCTTTGGCCCGGTTTTTGTTTTGTCACATCCTTTTTGCCATTCGGCTGTTTTGCTTCGTACCTTTTTGATATTTTATTTATAAGCCGCGACGATTCGTGGAGAAATCAACGTCGAAACTGCCAATCGACAATCAATCAAAAAAGCATTTCCCATCGGGATTTTGTGGCACACTTTGCCTGCCCTTTGTTTTGAATAAAATATGGAATGCCAATATTATTTTAAGTTCTCGTATTAAAATAAATGTATATTTCTGTCAACATGCCTACAGTTGGAGTTTTAGAATATTTTTGAGTTTATTTAAATTTTTGAAAGCAGAAAGTTTAAAGGTTATAAAGTCGTCAATTTAGTTGAACTTCTCCTAATTCAAAAACATTTCAATTGTTATGCTTTAGTTTCTAGTGTTTTCTCTGTTAAAAATGTAATCACAAAAGGAATTTAGAGATACTTAAAATGAGAACATTACATTTTGACTCTTTTAGGGAATATTTTAATCAAAGCAAAGGCACATAATTCATTAGTCATGTGTTTATGGGCCTTATGGCACTCGATAGTGCATCACAGTGTCCTTTTCATAAACTCCCTTTGAACGGCTCCTTAGATTTCTTGCCCAAATCATCCCCTAATTGCATCTCTGGCTAAGCCTCTTCATTAAGCTGTTCGTCTGCGCCGCGAGCGATGCCTAAAACTTGAAGCACCAAAGTCCAATGTTGAATCAATAAAGTCAACGGCCCTCCAAGAGAAAATCCTTTCGAACCCAACCCTTCCCCAGACGCCCAGATACCCGGGCTCTGCCACCGGCAGACTCTCCCACAATGAGCAGACATTTTGTCTGTTCTTTTTTGCATTCTCCGCTTTTCTCCCATTTGGCTGCTTGCAATGCACGAATGCCTCCGGATCCAGGACCCTGGCCAGGATCGGGGATGGGCGCCGCGCCCCTCTGGGCCAGTTCGGGCTTCAGTTCATTAGTGCAGTCGGTTGGACGGCATTTTACGGACGCGTGCCTTAAATAATTGCATTTTAAATGCAATAAACACAAGTGGAAATAAGACCGAAAAAAGGGAAACCGAATAATTCAAGTTGGTTGTTTCGGTTGGTAATTCAATAAGGATTAAGAGCGGATGGCAGAAAATTTGAAAAGCCAATGTTTATGGCTAATTTGCCGGCTGCGGTCGGTGCCCTGTTCTCTGTGTGTACTTACAGTCACTGTCATATCCGGAGGTCGTTTAGCCGCCAAATTTGACAGCCCATAAAGCGTATGCAACAGGATGTGTGCCCTCCCGCACCTCCGCTTAGAGTCTCATTCGCAAACATTGGGTAGATTTGCAGCCAGATGGACTTTGTCGCCGCCATCGCCAGAATGTCAGTGTCAATCAACAATGTCGCTAGTTTTTATTGCTGTTCCCCACTTGTTGTTCCCGTTGCTGTTGCTGTTGCGTTTACCGCTCGATGTCGTTTTTATTGCTGCAAAAAGTATTTGACTTGCAACAGAAGGGATCAACACTGAACCGCAAACACGAAGCGACAGCAACGGGTTAAATGTCTAACCTCGATTGCAATTGGAAATGGAATAAAGTGCATTTATGTACATTTTATTTTCAATATTTTGTTTTTACACTGGCACTTTAATTAAACGGTTTTTAAATTTCCGTTTGCTGCTTTAGAGCGAATGTTTAAATGGAGCTTTTATGGGATTATCTGGACTTGAAAGCCAAATTTTAATAGGCTTTCTGCCATTTTTATACCCTTGCAGGGTATTATAATTTCAGTCAGAAGTTTGCAACGCAGTGAAGGAGACGTTTCCGACCCTATAAAGTATATATATTCTTGATCAGCATCAACAGCCGAGTCGATCTAGCCATGTCCGTCTGTCCGTCTGTCCGTCTGTCCGTCTGTCCGTCTGTCCGTCTGTCCGTCTGTCCGTCTGTCCGTCTGTCCACCTGTCCGTTTCTACGCAAACTAGTCCCTCAGTTTAAAAGCTATCTGAATGAAACTTTGCATATAGTCTTCTATATACTCTCACTGCTATATATGTCGGAACGGGCCGGATCGGACGACTATATCATATAGCTGCCATACAAATGTCCGATAAATTTTTAGAAAAAAAAATATAACTTTGCTGTTTTTCAATATTTTTGCACCATTTTTTAGATATGGCCATTTTATATTATTTCTGAATTTTGGTAAAAATTTTATGAAAATCGGACGACTATATGATATAGCTGCCATATGAACGATCGGGAAATTAATAGGAAAAAAATTATAGCTTCGTTGTTTTTCAACGTATTTGTATCTACTCTGAGATATAGGCTTTTTTTATTGTTATAGAATTTTGGTATAAATTTCATAAAAATCGGACAACTATATCATATAGCTGCCATATAAACCGATCGGTAGATGTAGAGAAAATGTAAAACTGGGAATGTAAAACTGTAACTGTCAAACTGTAAACATAATAAGTATAGGTAAAATGTTATGAAACTCTGTGTAGTGTCTGTTTTCGGCATTATAATTTATGATATAAATATGAAAACCAATCTGCAAGGGTATACAAACTTCGGCGTGCCGAAGTTAGCTTCCTTTCTTGTTAAAATTGGATTTTAGTGAAACTCCTAATTAGTGATGAGAGTCTAATAAAGAATTGTATATTTTACCAACAAGTTCCAAAATCTAAATCAATCCGTGTTGATTACCACCGAAAAATAAAATATTTTATGACCTTTTCAGCTTCTCTACCCCGCTTTTACAAATTCGTGTTCTTTGTTTGCCCAAGTTATGGCGCTATAAGCCGTATTTATTGCTGTTCCTCCGAGTCTAAGATGCCGGCAGCAGCAAGTGCAATTTGTTATGGAACGCGGGAACTGCAGAAGTCAGTCCGCACAGAACGGAAAGTTTAATTAATTTTTAACCTTTGTGCTAAACACTTGGGGCCGCATTATGCGCAGTCCAAGTTTTCGGCCAAGGAAAATGTGAAGAGCATTCAAATTATGGGATCACACGGCGGCGCACTTCAGGTATGAAAGGCATGAAAGGAAAGTGCAACACGCTGACTTCGCGAGGAGGCACAAATGCAAATTATGGACAAAACAGAAATATAGTGATAAATTCAGCCCGGCCATAAAATGCCACTGAGCCAAAGATGGCAGGATAAAGGATAAAGGGGCAGGCTGCACCACCAATGCCTGGGACAGATGAACGCTGTTCTCGGGGCAATGTGCACGAGGAGATGTAGTACTTACCTTGGGCACCGTCACGCCACTCCTCAACCCCATAATCAGGCAGAGTGTTGCCCGCGTCAAATTTATTTCTATGACGTCTCTTGGCATCTTTATGTTTTTTAGATGTTTTTAATTTTATGCAGCAAGCATCAGTCAGCACACGGCCGAGGTGTGTATTTCAGGGAGAGATCGGGATAGCACGGTTCGTGAATGGGGCGGTTGTTGTTTTTGTTGTTGTCGGCGGTGGTTGTTGTAGTTGGTTGTTGGTTGGAGAGGGCATAACATGAAAGATATATTCAAATGGAGGGAAGTTTCGGAGCCAAAAAAAAGAGAGAAACCATACAGAATGAAATTTAGTTATACACATTTGCACAGATGCCAGCGGTAATTGTATGCTAGGGTATTTTTATTTAATTTCGCATTTATTTGCATTTAGAAGGGGCGCCACAGCCAAAGGAAAACCAACTGGGGGGCGAAAGGAAAACAGAAACTGCATGCAACTTTGACTTGATGGACTCGATTCGAGGTGGGGTCGATGGATGAGGAATGTGGTGCGGTCATATGTGCTGTTGTTTCGCCACGTCCTGTGTTTTTGGCTATTTGCGTTGATTACTGCAATTTTGGCCCGCTTATCGCCTTCATTTAGACGGGCCGAAAGCCAAAAGCTATTTCTTTGGGCTTGGGGCAAGGTGAAAACATACCAAGTACCTTCGTGTTTTAGTTTTTGGGGCTTCTCCTGATAGTTTTTCGCCTGAACTGCCTATCGATGAAGTTGACTTTAATGGCTGATATGATTTTATGTGCTCTCGTGGGCCACTTCAATGTGTAGTGCTGACTGTGATTTTGTGCTTTGCAGTGCATAAAATTAAAACCCCATTATTGCATTACATAATTCATGAGCAGGCAAAAAATGTGCTGTGATGCTTGTGGCTGATATTTATTCAATTAGGGAGTTGATCGAATGGCTATGAACCGGACCTAATGAACTCTGTAGCTCTGGGTTAGTTTACGCTTTAACAAAAAACGCCCTCATGTTTGTTAACTAATTGACTCTTACCGTAGCTGCGATTCAGCAGGGCCATCTCGGAAATTATGGCCGTGGTGGGCGTTGGCATTTCTGAAAGTGTACGATATTAGTTTGCATTCGAGTTAAATTTCATTCGGCTCGAGTCGAGCTCCTACCATCGAGCTTTATGTTGCCATCCGTCTCTCCCAGCGAGTTCTTGGCCACACAGCGATACGTGCCGAAATCGTTGGGGCCCACGGCTCGTATTTTCAACTTCATGTACTTTGTGTAACCGCTGACCGTTGATGTGGTCTCGTATTTATCGCCGGCCCGCGAGGTGTCTGCAAGTGCGAAAAATGCGGAAAAGTGTGCTATAATTTACAGTGACAATTTCTGTGCCTGGAAAATATGTATGGGGAAAATCAATTAATTAATGTCACCTGCAGGGGGCGGTCGGAGCTGTTTTTAGTGCTGCTTATGGGCAGTGAAGTGAGTCGCTTTCCCAATCGAGACTCCAACTAATTATACCCTCGCCCCCGCCCCTGCCTCCCCCTGCCACCATCAGAGTGTGTGTGTAATTAAAACTGGCGCAGTTCCTCAGCTATTTCCATTGCCGTCGCCGACTAAAACTTTTCTCATTAATCAGTGAAAATCTAAAAGAAAAACTTTTGTTCTCTGGCTGGCTGCGGCTTTAATTTCGTTCCATTTCGGCTCGTTTCATTTCGTATTGGGCTCGCTGCCGTTGGGCTGCTTTTTGGGCAACTGCCGGCTGACAGTAAGTAGCATTAAATATATAAACTTAATTTCACTTTGATTGTTTGGCGCATTGTAAGGCGATATCGCATGTTACCCATACGTCATGTTGTCCCTTGTACATGCATGTGTGTATTTGTGACAAATGTCTTTAGTTTTTCCCGCTTCTTTCTTGGGCAACAATGGGGAAAAACAATTTTCCCTGCGGCTCCCAACTTGCATGTGACCCGCACTCGCGGCTTCTTTTTATAGCCCCAGTCACCTTTTGTGATACTTTTTCAGCTATCCCGTGCCACGACTATCCGCGGGGCCACATGTAAGTTCCTCTGACACGCAAATATATAATTTTTCTCATAATCATCGGCGGCAGCAATTCTTTTCCCTGCCTGCCACGTCTTCCGAGGAACTTTATACTTTTAATGCCAGCCGCATTAAACGAAAGTTTCGGTTTCTTGAACTGTTTGTAGGATTGCCTGTCCTGCAGGCCATATACATATATGCTGTATGGCTATGACATACGGCATGTGTCGTAGACGTACGAGGGCCGTTTCAACATCTGCACTATCTAGGATATTTCAAAAAGAGAATTAAGGGCTTAAATCCTAGAACAAGATCTTCTATATTGAAACGAGTTTAACCTTTTTTCTGAGTTCTAGTTTAAAACCCTCTCGAAAACTTAAGATTTCTTTAGTTCAGCCGAGAAAACTCCACCAGAGATAACTATATTTTGCAGACGCAATAATTTACCCCAAATGTGTACACATTTATACAGACTTTTAAAAGAAAAAAAGAATATGTATAAACAATAGTGCTATTCTTTTGAAACTACTCTCGTTCCAGTTCATAGACAGCTATATAGAACTCTATGCGAAAGCGCTTAAAATTTATTACCCAAACTTTTGGTGTCTGTTGGCCATACATCATGGCCGCTGCCTTCATATCTTATATCTTGCTTCGCATTTCCCTCAGTTTGTCGCCTGTGCGTGTGTGCATAGCAAATGTCATATTCCGTCTCACTTTTTCTACCTCGGCCAGCTAAATCCTGGCCATAATTTTGCCCAGAGCTACGCCTAAGCCGGCGACTTCTTCCTTATCGAACAAACAAAGTGACATTTAAGCATAAAATGGAACCGAATGGCAGTCCTTCAAAGGCTGGTATATATATAGCTCAATTTTTATGCATATAGGTTGCCATCAATGAGTCATGGGCTCTGCTTATACTGCATAGGTTTGTGCCTCACGGCAACATGGATTCCGAGGTTTCGGTTAGTACTTTATATATTGTACAGACATTCCATTTATAATTCGAAATATTTTCTTGCTCTGTTAATTAAAGAGAGAAGTAAATACAACAGAGTTAAATTTGGTTATTGGTTTACCATTTTTGCATTTAAATTTAAAGGAAAGACATAACATTATGCCATTAAAAATGTGCTGCCATTATAAAAGCATATCTGTGGGTGGCATGCCCACAATACTATTTAGCCACATTGACGGGGAATTATGAGTTCCGACATGGAGTTCATGTGTGCAGCATCATTTAGACGCATTTTGCTGTGCACATTTACCAATCTCTCCCGCATATGCCTGCCAGTTATGTTAAAATAATTTCCGCTGAAAATAGAATTTTCCGCTGGTATTCGACTTTTTATTTAATTTTCGCTCTGCATCGATCTCGAACCATGTATTTAATTTTCACATTGCCCATTTTCAGTGCATCAAGTGTGTTATTCAGCATGTTTGACTATTTAAATTCAATGTGTATTTAGTTTTCTGCTTACACTGTGTTACATCGGCTTTGTTCATTTAAATATTTAAAATGTACACTTGGTTTCATAGCGGAGCTCCCAACCATAGTCTTTTGGTAATAAAGTAATCAAAATACCATTTTAAAATATAAAAGTCAAGTTATAAAGTCGAGAGAAAACAATATTAAAAGTTGATCTATCGGAAATTTAAGGTGCCTGCCCAGGTCATCAACCCACTCTAGATCTGGCTGATGTTCATTCCAAAATATTGCAATTAATAACTATATTTTGAATTCAGTTCAACAGCATATGACCTACATATCAAGGAAAATATCTTTTGCTATGTTTTCTGTTTTCTTTTGGTGTTAATTGTACGTTTTTTAGACCAAAATTATAATTAAAATCCATTTTTACCCATAATTTCGTAGGCCGTATGTGGTTTTAAGAGAAATTTAAAGAAATTAAAGATATTTTCAAGTCCCAGAAGGCTTTTAACGTGTCAGATTGCTTGCAGAATCAGATCGTTTTGACATATGTTGGTTCTGTTTTTGACTGATTTCAACTTTTCGGCTCGCTCTTATGAACTGTCAGATGTCAATCCAGTGAAAAGTGTGAAAACTGTGAAAACGTTATCTCGTAAAGACGACACGCTTTAAGGCAGCGCAGTTCACAATGCCACAATGTCTCTGCGTTAAGCCCGGCGCACAGTGCGTATGAGCAACGCATTTTACGACGGACCACTGCGGGACGAAGGGACATGAAGCTGCCAGAGTACAATAAAAAAGAACACCGCATCAACATTCACTGGAAACCTCCTCGCAAGTGGAAACGAAATAAATGGGTTGAGCTCCACTCGGGGTTTTCACGTTCGCCACTGAAGCGAGTATTCATTCTCCCTCTCTGTTTGGCATTTCGCCTGACAATTTTCCGGCGACCGGACTTAAGCGGAGCAGTCTGAACCGCTGGTCCGCATGCTGATTACATTGTAAGCTCATATGCAAGCTCTTTCCAGAGCGTAAATGCGGCTCTTCAACTTCATTTAATTTACACCCATTACTTCTGATACGAAACAGAGTGTAAGCCATGGTCAGCTCGGGTGAGTTGCTGCGTTGACTTACCGGATATGATCATGTCGCCGCGCTCCGTGGTCCAATAATTGATCGATGCTGGGTAGGCTTCCGTGTGGCACTCCAGTATCACGTCCTGACCCACATAGGCTCCCTCCAGCTGATTGGGTATCGAGAGCATCGGCGGAACTGTGAAAGAAGGGCGATACTTTAGAAAAACTTGAAGGTATTGGGTTTTAGTTACATTATAACGCCAGATTTGATCTCGTAAAACAACCTCACGTTTGCTAAAATGGTGTGCAGAATAAACCCTCAGACCACTTAGTAGCAAGCACTCACAACTGGAGTTCCATTTCCCTGAAATCGGCTATATTCACTCCATTTTCCTCCCAAAACTCGTTACTATATTGTTTTCTCAACACCCGAAAAAGCATGCATGCCTTTTCCGGAACCCAACCCATTGTCCGTACTCGTCACGGACTTTACATCAGCTTTACGGGCCCCCGATAAATTTTGCATTCCATTTTACGTGAGTTTACAAACTGTTTTTGGATTAAAATGCACTCAGTCATTAAAAGTGAGCCTGGGAGCGAGTGATTGCGGCTCCGTCCATCTCGGCAGGGCGTGTGTGGGGTGTGCGTGGAGTGTGTATGCGGGGCGTGTGTGCGTAAATAGCTTTTGTTCCCACTGTTGATACTGAGGAAAGCGGCTGTGTGCGGGAGTTGGCCGCCAGTAACAACAAAAACAGCGCAGCTCTGCGAACGGTGAACGCATTTTGGCCACGCACACATCACGGGGGCACAAAATAACACCTGCCGACGAGCAAACAAACAAACAAACGCCAGCAAACAAAGCGAAATGAGCTCAGTACTAGAGGTGGGAGAAGGCAACAAGAGGATTTGGCAAAAAGAATTTGTATACCTCCTATAACTGAGATTTTTCTAAAAATGAAATGTTTAGCAACATTAATATTTTATTATTTCTGAATTAATATTTAGTTTTTAAGCCTCAATCTGCCTGTTAAAAGTATAGATTTCTGGAATTTATAAACTAAAGATTCAGCGATATTTAAGACGAAGAGTAGTAATACTTATAGAGCTACAATTTAATTCAGTTTCTAAAGTAGTCAGTGAGTTATTTCGAGGCTTTTAAGTTAAGCTATAAAGTCAGGTCATCTGCCCATCTCTATGGCAGGCAGCCCCAGGACATGGGACACGCACTTACAAACTTCCACAGGTAAATTAATTTAACGTGACTGCAGCTTTCGGTCGATTTTCGGCCAAGGGGGTTCGCCAGGCCCTGCATCTGCATCTCGTCTGTATGCGAATGCTGAGGACGCGTTGCGGTTATTGCCCCAAAAACTGCATTGGCCACATGTATCGGAGGGACGGATCGTCGGCTTGTTTTGTATATTTAACGCATTGAGTCCAGCTGCCGTCACTGCCACATTTTCCATTGCCGGCTGCCATTTCACTCCTCTCCTGAACTGGTTATAAATATTCCAAAAGTGCTGAGCCCCAAATGGATTTTATGATATTTCTGAAATTTCCCTTTTGCGTGGCCAAGCATCAAAAAACTACTGTTGTTTGTAGCTTTTAAGTGGAGTACTTTGATGGGAACCCCCTTACATTTACAGATTAATACTTCAAGGACACTTAAACTTGTCAGTAAGCTTTATATGGAAGTAATGTTTGAACAGAAAGTTTTTTAAAGCAGCTTTTATATTTATAAATTTTCAAAGTTTTTACGAATAACTACTGTTGTGTATAGCTCTGAGAAGGGCAGATATTTATTTATACCTAATACAAGTTCTTTAGTGAAGAATCTTTACAGATGAGTTGTCTGTAACTCCCCAGTTCCTTACTAATCTCGCTTTTGTTGTCCTAATTAGAGTCCCAACCCTTTCCTCTCTTCCTAGGCCGATGTGGTCTACTAATTTGGGTCACTCAGTGGGTCGAAGGGTAGCACTGTCCGTGGATAAACGTTAACTCTAGACATTTACTCACATTGCACACGCAGGTGGACCCTCTTGCTAATCGATGGCGGGACTCCGTTGGAAGCCACGCACAGATACGCGGCCATGTGCAGGCGACTCACTTTGGTGATGTGCAGCAGCTCGCCGTCAACCACGTTCACTGTCGGAATTCGAGGGGATGGGGGAGAAAGGGACCACGTTAAGCCGAGAGCAGTGCGGCGGAATAGGGTCGCTTACCATGCTCCCCGCCAATTAGCATCTCCTCGCCGTCCTCGCGGCGCCACATGACGTAGGGTTCCGGATAGCCACGTGCCTTGCACATCAGCGAGACATTCTGACCCTCTCGCACCACCATGTCATTGCTGGTCATTCCCTCGACAATCATCGGGGGAACTGTCCGGAAGCGAGAGGCAAAGGCCAAGGGTCACTAGGGGTCAGCAGCGCAGCCAATGGCCAGTGGCCTGGATTAGTTTCAGTACTCACCCACCACCTGCAAGTAGCCCTTCCTGGAGCGCATGGGATCCTGGCGGGAATAGAGAGATTAGCTACCGTTCCAGCAGTCACATGCAAAAGTATTTCAGCTCACCGTGTTAACTTGGCACATGTACCAGCCGCGATCCGTCTCCTCCACCTCCTTGATGTGCAGGTACCACTGTAAGAACAGAGTTTAAAAAAGTCCAATATATATACAAAGAAACTCCTGCTTCGCCCTAAGGCTACACCCACCGATCGATGGTCGTTGTAGGTCAGGCTGATGCGGTTGTTCTGCGAGATGACGTTGTGGTGGATGGACAGGATCGTCTGCGTGTCCACCCGCACCCAGGCCACCTTGTAGCCCTTGAGGTTCTCCACCACGCAGGCCAGGAGGGCATCGCGGCCAACGGAGACGGTGACATTGGCAATCGGCTCCGCGAAGCGTGGAAAGTCGGAATCTGAAAGAGACAGTTCGAATGGGTTCTTTTTGTTTTCAGCCTGGCCCTGATTTCACTGTTCAGGAAGGGGAACCCGTCGAGACATTTTGCAGATTTCTCCCCCAGTCCCGGCCTTGCTGCACTGCGGCACATTGCGCATACGTCCCGTGTGACCCTCGGAAGAGGAGGAATTCGACCATATTAATTACCTTCCTGTGCCGTCTGCTGCGTGTCCAGGCGCGTGTGCTTGCCTGCAGGAGAAAGGAGTGAAATTGAGAGCGTTAGAACGTTTAATTAATTTTGCCTCCCCACCGGCGAATTTATATAATTAGAAAACCGAATTGCGTCCGCCCGACCCGTGTGGGAACTAATAAATAAAAATTAATTAGCCACGCCAACAAAACTTCGCCCTGGACAGGGGACAGGCTGCAATGGCGACTGTCGCCATGTTTTGCTGATACGGCACAAATGGCTGCGCTCTCAGATTTGTGTTTTTAGTTTCATTTATTGCACTCGTTCTATGACAAAAGTTCAAGTTTAATTGTTTCTGGCAGCGTTGGCATTTTCCCCGTTTGCACCGAAACTTTTCCTGCTCCAGCGTGGCAGCAATTTGGCTCTAAGAGGTGAAAGGTTATGGGGGGAACTTTTCCAAATAAAAACTTTGTAAAAATGCCACACCGAGGTGTACTGTTTAGCATGAGAGTCCAAGTGTTTTCTCTCCAAGTTTTGGGAAATGGGAAAATATTTGAGTATATTTTGCTTTTACAGACAAATCTCCGCCTTTGTCCTTGCCCCTTTTCCCGTCCTGAACAGACACTTTACAAATGAGTTTCGCCAGAGTTAAAGAAATTCGAGTTGGCAGCAAATCGCATTCGCTTTGAAGGGCGCTACAAGCGTTGTCCGTAACATAAAACTGGTAAATTGAAAAACGCTTAAGCATTTTTACAGCTTTTAACACGGCGCCGCATATTGAATTACGTTCGCTCCAGCCGGGCCGGGCCGGCTTCTTTCCTTTCATCTGGACAACTGCTAACGCTTCCTGCCACCGGGCATTGGCCGCCATCGTCCTCCCACTCCCCCGGCGCATCTGACATTTGTGCTGGCACTTTTCAACTTCACTTCTCCTGGAGCAGCTGCTGTTTATGCCTTTTCAGCTACAAAAAAAGCTCAACACGATTTTCGCCGTTGATTTACGTTTTAGCACGTTTTTCGCCCAGTTTAGCTGGCGTTTTTGCTGTCAGTTGTCCTTCCTCTGTTTTTCATGTTCACCCCGCCGGGCTGCACTCTGCAGATTTCAGCCATTTGAATGTAGTTTCCTTTATCCTTTGCAATTTAATGAGCGGCCTTTCATCGTCGTCGTCGGATTTGTCCCTGACTCTTTGGTCCTGGAGGAATAAATAAATAAAATACCCCGACCTAAATGTGCTCTCTGGGCAAGGGGTCCTGGCAATTGACATTTAAATTTTTATCTCCCATTTGGTGCTCAGTTACTTTCGCAAACAAAGCTCACGTGACACACGGGCCTGGAGTCCCTAGTCGCGAGTCAGGTAATCAGTCAGAGTTCCATTCACTACCTGCCGTCCGAGATTCCGCTAGTCCGGCACGAGCAAAGGCCTACGGAACCGCCTGCCCCAGCCCGCTCTCTTTGTGCAAACGCAACTGACCATTCAATTTATCAGGCTGGACGGCGGCAAACTCCGCGCCAAAGCCCCCTAAACCTTCGACCAACAGCCCCAAACCGCCTTTTGAGCTTTGTGCAAACAAAACGCGGCTGGAAATGCCAGAGCTGAAAAGTGCCAGCCACTTTCAATGGGTCTGCCCTGTGAGCACGATTGCGTTCTTCGGCCAGGATGGACGATACGATACCCTATTTCCAGTTTACAGAAAAACAAAGTTCTTTCAACTAGTGAAAGAATTTATATACATTTTAGTAATAGATTCAACATCGCATAGATTCGCACGAGAGAATGGACTCTTAAAATAAAAATTTAGAAATAATTTGAAAAGGTAAGATTCTACATACTTGTACATACATTCTACTTCTACCCTGCATTTAAAAATCAACGTTTAGCTGAAAGCAAATTTGCTAAGCTATTTTTGTTGTATTATTTGACTACGTTTCTATATTTATTTTAAACTGAAAACGTTGGCATACTTCTAGGCCCTTTAAAGGCCAGGTTAATGGACTGGCTTAGTGCTTAAGCCTTGCTGTGCGGGCTGCAGACTGCAAGGCGCATTTCCACGTTATTGGCGGCATTAAAGCAGACCATCTGCACTGGGCCAGGACACGGGGGAAAGGTAAAGGAGCAGCCTTCACCTTTCCATTCACCAGCCTTATCTCGAAGGCCTCCACACACCAAATGGTCGTCATAAACAAAGAGCGCACAAAAGAAAACTTTGGCCAGACGTGCCGCCTACTCGATTTTCGGCAATGGCTGCAAATAAACTTATGGCACTGTGGTTGTGAACGTTGAATAAAGGAGTAAACTTTTCCCTTGTACATATAAATTATTAACTTTACTGCTTACAAGTCACATTGTTGGTATTGATGTAAAAATAAATAATACAAATCATTACTAGTGCAAGAAAACTTAAATAATCATTAAACGTTACATGATTTCAATTTACCGAAGAAGTTGAAGATTAACTAAGGAAGCACTATCGAAAAAGAGGATCCAAGGGATAAAAACACAACGAAATAATACGGCAATTATAAGGCATTTTATTAATAGAATAATTCATTTTATTTTAGGGAAGTTGTTCCACTTAGAAATATTATAATTTAAGCTCGACTTCATCCGGATATTTCCCCAGATTTTATCCATTTTGTATTTGTTTTCAACACTTTTTTGATATTTATTCGTAGATTTTCGGATATCGGGAAGATATTCCTTTATTTCGATAAGAATCAATTGGGTTATTTCGAAATTTTCCTGCTTTCACCCCACTGTAACTTTGGTGCAGGCTGAGCTTTTCTTTGGTTTCCCTTTTTATGATCCCATCATTTTTGTTGGCCATTTTTCCGTTTGTTTATTTTGTTTTTTTTTTTGGTTTAGGGATGTCGTTGGGGACACGGAATGGGCAGAGGCGCTTGAGGAATACTTTGGCTGGCCGTTTACTGTCGTTTATTTGTCTTTTTGCCATTTTTATATTTACGCATATAATCGCTTTCAACGCTTTCCGCCGCCTTGGGAGATCGTCTGGCGGGTGTGGGGATTGCGGTGCCGTGGGACGTGGGTCTTGGCGGCGCTTATAAATATGATGTTATCGCTTTTTATGGTCCACTTTTATTGCCGGCAATCAGTCTTGCGTTTTGTTTGCTGATTGCTTGCCATTATTCAAATGTATTTGTTTAATTCCCGGGGATTGGCAGCCACAAATCATTTTAAATCCGCAATATGTCAACAATATTTGGCCGTCGAGCACTCTGCTTTTTTATTTATTCGATTTACCCCTGCTCTTGGCCCGCCCAGATGGTCCTTGAGCGGGTCATTATGGCGGCTTAAGGCATCTGTTAAGTGGGCCTCGTTGTGGACACTTAACGGCGCCTTACGGGCTCCCCACGAAGCCTAATCAGCTGCAAGCCCATAATCACATTGCGTATTCGTAATTAGTTTAGCGTTTGACAAGGCGAGCAAATCTTCGGCGGGCTCCGAGTTCAATTTCCCCGCCCACCCTGCGAGCGCTCACAAGCTGATTATACTTGCACTTTGTTGACAAACGAGCTGATTAAATGCCGGCTCTCGGTCATTATGCAATTAAGTGGCCAGTGACTCTGTGGGTTTGCATTTCAAGCTCAGCACCCCGGCAGCTGTGTGTGGGTGGATGCGTTTGACATGGGGCCCTGGGCAAGGAAGATATTGTCTATTTGCATTGAAGCTCAAGAGCCAAAGCAAGACGATTATGCTGGGGTTTAATTACCTGTCGAGTAATACCTTTAAATTAATTAATTGAATATAAAGTAATTACCCAATTGACCATGACCGATTAAACCAATGCCTGACTTAAAACAATAGACTATTCACTGACTTTTATGTAAAGTTCTGATTATGATAGAAGTAGTTCATGATAGTAGACAACTGTAAGACAAGGCCTCCAACAACAGGTGGGGCAAGAGCAACTCTTAATCAGTCTTGCGACAGAGGAGCACGTAAAAAAGCTGGCAGCCTGCGAAATGCTTTGTGCAAATTGTTTACTTTTTGGCATAGAGCGAATACCAGCCAGATTCACACAAAATCCGACACAGGAAAGCCAAGCCGGCGGAATGCCATGAATTTGCTTACAGCATGCTCTTGGAGGAGGGAGAGGGGATGCCTCGCAGAAAAAGTGTCTAAGAATGCAGAGTAAAATAGCTACCCGACAATATGTATATGCACTCATATATTCAGGGCAAACAGAGGAGACCCAGACCGCAAAACGAATTGCGGATGCGGCAGAATGCACTCCGCCAACTTGGCAACCAAATGAACTCGAACAGGGCCCGAAGTACACATGTCGGCCAGATACTTATGTGGGGCACAGCCAAATCCCTGCTACATAGTGCGGCAAGTTTTGTCTTTTAGGGCGGGATAAAGGCGGTATGTACTGAGCAGTTCAATCCCCGGCTCAGCCTGATCGATTGCGAGACGGAAAACTCATTAAGAACTTTAATTAAGTCGAAAGTCGGCAATGAGCACTGCAACGGGCGAAACTCATTATTCATAACGAAGGAAGCACAGGGCTGAAAATCCGAGTCCAGCTGAAGGTTCAGCTGCAGTGGCAGCTCAAAGTCAGCTCGCCCCCAGGAGCGAGCTGCAAATAAAGACGAAATATGTGCGAAAATGTGTCAGAAAGTGAGCGAAAACATAAAACATGCCAGCGAGCAGCTGGAGTGGGTGCAAATCGTGGGCTTGGGGACTCGCCCAGCTCCCCAGCTCAACTGCAGTGCGCCAGCCTTGTGAGTTATGTGTGTGCCAGCTCCTCGGATCCAGTGCAGCTCCTGCGGAGTGAATGACGGGGTCCTTTAGGTGCTGGCCAGGGCTTCACCTACCAGCAGCCACGCTCAGACTGCGCTTAACGTTTAAATAAATGATTGTGACAAACGCAGCAGAATGGATTACAAGCAGCAGGAATTATGCAAATATAATTGCGGCTTGCTCACTTAAGAGGGAGAAAGCAGATCATAAAAAAGGTGTTGGTGTCCCTAGAGAGCGATTTATATCTCTATTTTACTGATACGTTGCCTATTGGGAAGTGTTTTGAAGGAATACCTATCATTCACAAGAGGCTGAATAGTTTTGAAAAAAACAGTAGGATCTAAAATAAAAGCAAGACTCTATGTTTTGTCATGGTATAGGAAAAGAGTTTTTGATTTTTTGCTAAATCATCGATAAATTTCTATATAAATTACTGATGATATTGGCATGAAATTAATGATTTATTAATACATCAGAATCATTTTACCAACATTGGTGAGAGAGGGAGAGTGCTAGAGTAAGATTTCTACATGCCGTTCTTTATTTTTTTCATTGATGATTCAGCAGCATACTTCACAAGATTTTCATGGAATTGTCATCAATCGGGGAGTCGGTTTGTCCTGGGCTTGGCAGAAGTTGACGTCGAAACGTTGATTCCATACCACTTTGACATGAGGTATTCCAAAGTATTCTCACAAATTCGAGATCGGTTCGCAGTTATACGCACTTACTTGATCTAAGTATATTCAAGCTTTGAATCGCTTTCTTATTGAAAACTTGGACTGTAGCGTAGTACTCCATACATTTATGTATTTGTTATACTAAAATAAACCTTTCTACAATGTAGATGCACGTAATTTTTGTTCTTATTGCTCAGAATGCCTTGTATATAATTTTCTTTTATAAGCTAATAGTCGTAACTTATCTTAAAAATATATTTTTACCTAAAAAATTTCAATGGCGCAAAGCTTGTGTTCCAATTTTTCGTTGTGTGTTTGATATACTTCAACAGTATTTCTTTTGGGTGCGACGAATTCCCCAGTAGCCGTGAATTAAACATGCGGCTGCCACTCACTCAATTTCCTCAGTTGCCAAACGATACTCACCG